AGAATCGAATACCAACTTAAATAATGACCATAGAATATACATGATAGAAGAATACTAAATGCTTGTCGTACAGTCATTATAATTGTAAATATAACTGGACCAAATTCTTCTATTGTTGAAAATATAAATAATTGTCCAATTGATGAACATATTGATGTTGCAAATGCATGTATTAAAAATGATCTATGTTGTTGCATAAATAATAAACATTCAAGTAGAGTACCATTAAGAACAAGTGATGTGCCAGTAAGAATTGTTGAGATAAAATTAACAAAAAACATCATATTAAGAAATGATATTGAATAATGATCAAATATATGTTTTTGATAGTTTGATGTAAAAGCATCGAAAATCTAAAGCAAAATAAAAAGAAAGAGTCTACAACAAATCAAACTTATCCTTATCTAGATTTTCTTTTATACGTATAAATAATCTTTATCTCTTAAGTTTCTTTACTCCTTTTACTCTCTTTATCTCCTTTAGTACTTTTAGTCCCTTTAATCTAAAGACACTAAACAAGTAAAAAACTAAAAAGAGTACAGCAATGGGAAAGACTCAAGAACCTACAAAGACTAAAACCAGTAAAATGAGTCGACGAATAAACATTGTTCATAGTTGTCAGCGAACAGTTAAGCCACAATGATTTTAGTTTCTCGTGAATCGATATATAGTAACATTTCGTGTCTTAAAAATCATGTTAATTAACCCAGGTCCAATAAAACGGCGTCGTAAACGGCCTGAAACGGCTATAAAACGCCGATTAACGATGTAAAACGTCGATAAACGGCACCGTAATCCGTCATATCAGATTACGGAAGCAAAACCGGAAAAAAACGACCGCCGTTTTCTAGCGATAGACGGTGGTCGTAATATGGTATGACGGATTACGGCGAAATAAGGCCAAAATTACTGCAGTAATTCGCCGTTTTATAGTCGTTTCAGGCCGGATACGACGCCGTTTCCGACGGCCGGAATGATCCACCTGGGAACTATTTTTAATAAAATGAATCCTCCAATATCAGTGTTGATCAACATAATTCAATGATTACACTGAAACTAATGATGCGAAAATTTTCAAACACAATATTCATCCATTTTAGATCATTCGGAAATATTTTACATAATAGAAAAATCATACATTTCATCATTCAATAGTTCCTAACAAAATATTTACTGTTGTGCTTCGATGAATAACGATATAATTTAATTTCTTTAATAGTAGGAATCTACACATTATCGTTTTCTTTAACAGATTTTTCTTACAATATTCAACTTACTAAATAAAATATAAGTAAAATTAATCCATTTATTGTTGTTATATTTTGTGTAGCTTTTTTTAATGATAGTTTAATTGTATCATTTGCATGATAACCAGATAAAAAAAGTGCAATACCAAAAGCCATTAATAACATCAATAAATATTGTCTTAATGGATATGTTTTACCTGAAACAAATTTTCCAGCAATCATAACTGGTATTGTTTTTATACTTTTAGCAATAACTTGAACAGGAAAACTAATATATAAAAGACTTTCATATTGAAACCATGTTGACATACAATTAGCATAAGATATAATACCATATTTATATAATGGTGGTCCTGCTGATACTACTTTTTTCATTGGATAAAATATTTTAAATGATATATAAGCAACTATCATAGCTAAAAATCGATTA